GGCTCGCTCTTGTTGCGGTGAGCGGCGGAGGAGGAGAAGGAACTCGGAGAGCCTGGTGTCTCCTGTCCAGGATGTTGAGTAACATCGTCGCAAAGAGTTTTTAAGGAAGGGGTTTGGTAGGACCAGCCTTGTCTGCCAGGGTGCTTGCCACATCCGCGGGGAGAAACAGAGTTCAGCTGCGCATCGGTGTGAGGTGTCGGCTCAGTCTGAGGGCAAACCGAAAGTGCTGAAGCTCCCTAGCAAGTGAATCGAGTATTTGGTGGTAGAGGAACACATTTTGGGGGGCGGGAGGAGGGCTGTTTCTTAGTTTTTTTAAAGCTCCGAGTAGATGGCAGGGGGTTTTTGCGATTTGCTTACATTGAGGCCCACCCTGGGTTGAAGACTCATCCAATTAAAACATCTCCCAGCAGTGACAACCACGAAAAACTGCCCTTGCTGGCGCGCCGAGGACCTGGGAAATCAGCAATGTCTTGGCTGGTTTCCACTGCCCAGGCTAAGATTAAGGAGGAAGTACAGTGGGGACGTAAAAACCCACGCTGGACTAATCTGAGGTGTCCTTTGTCCTATACCGTAACCTTTCTCCCGAACGTACGACTTTCACCCCGACGGGGTCCCTTTTTACCCTGCCACGATGTGGTTTTGTTTTACTGTTGGCGCTTAAGCGGTGTTTCTGGGGCAGGGACAAAGCCCCTCTGCCCGCAGCCCAGCTCCCTCGCCCCGCTGCCCCTTCCTGCCTCCAAGCAGGGGGAAGGCGGAATGGTGGAAGAAGCCGGAGCCATTGTTCAGCCAAGTTAAAAGCGGAGCTGTCCTTGCCTGCTGGCTCAGTCATGCATACTCAATCCGGCCGGGCCCGGGTCCCTCTGGAAAGGAGGAGGGCGATTCTTCCCCTCTTTTTAACATTCCTCTCCAGGCCTGGCTGTATTTAAGCTGCTTGCCGAGGAGGAGGGAGGGAGGGGGATGGTCTGAAGTTCCTGTACATTTGCATTTTAAGCTCTTCCAGCGCCGAGCGGCCCACTTTGTTCCCCCGCGCCGGAGGGGCTGCAGGGTGCTGCTGCACGTGGGTCGGGTGCCCGGCCACAGAGATGCCCTCCGCGCCCGGCGCCGGCCTGCCCTGCCCGCTGACCCCCTGCCTCCACAGGCGTCTGAGGCTGAGCCTGGACCCCGGCACGCTGCTTTGTCACCAGCTCGAACCACCTCACCCCTTCCATCGTTTCAAAGGGGAAAACAGTGCCCAACCCCGGAGCTCTGAGAAAGAGACGCCATCTCCTCCCTCCACGTCCTAAGGACCTGGGCTATCTCGAGGTTCGGACTTTGGGGCGCATGTGGTTTTGTCCCCCTCCTTTCCAAGGCTTTCCAAGCTTTCTGCTGGGAGTCCATCACAAAAGCTGCATTGTTTGCTTTGGGGAAGACACCACAATTGGATCTAATTGAGCCTGACGCCACATCCATCTTTCTTTCCTCGGAGGGAGGTGTGGGCTCTGTCCTTCCTGTGCTAAGGAAGAAAGTTTACAGTAACTTTTTGACTGAAAAAGAGGGTGTCTGTACAAGCGTTATCAACAACAGGAATTCCGGATCAGGTTCCCGTTACTGCTGCACACGAGGCTGTTCCAGGGGCAGGCGGCAGTTCCCGCCGGGGATGGGCAATGATCACCTCTCGCAGGGTCGGTTTGTCTCTGCTGCATCTGAGGGAAAATGGCCCCTCTTCTTAGTAAGCCCCATCTTCACACGGATGGTAGTGGGGCATCTACACCTAAACGTAACGCGTGTGCTCATAAGTTCTGTCATCACAACTAGGACAGGATTTTTATTTCCTAAAAATAACCCCCAAAACTTATTCTCCCCACTGAGAAAAAAAGCCAAGCCAAAACCTTGCCCGCACAGCCTGCGGTGCCATGTAAGGGGAACTCAATCCTCAGGAAGCTGCCGGAACCAAAGTCTCCCCGAAGCCCGGCATTTGGACACCCCCGGCTGTCCCCACAGATGGAGCAAACGCTCCTCACGCCTTCCTCTCCTGTCCCAGCGTGACAGCATCTCCTTGGGCACAGAGGCAGTCACAGAATCACAGAATTACAGAATCACAGAATGACAGAATGGTCGGGGTTGGAAGGGACCTCTGTGGGTCACCCAGTCCAACTCCCCTATCAAACCATGGTCACCCACAGCAGGCTGCACAGGACCTTGTCCAGGCAGGGCTGGAATATCTCCAGAGAAGGAGACTCCACAGCCTCCCTGGGCAGCCTGTGCC